TCATACCAATTGATTAGGCATGCAATAGCCCATTTACTACCTAAACAAGAATATTTGCTATATGGTGTAAAAAAAAAAAAAAAAAAAAAAATATTTGCTATATGGAAATCTTGTAGTAATAATTTTTAGGTAGATCAGAAAAATGTAATGTATGTATTAATGTATACTTAAAGATTAAAGCCTTTAAAGGTATAATTTTCTTAGTTTAAATAGCTAAAGAGATTTAACTTTTTCATAATAAAAACTATACACCATCATTTTTTCTTTTGTTCATAAAAGGGGTGAGATGCTTCAGAGTCCACTATTCCATGATTCCGTCGACCGTCATTAGTGTTTAAATTGTACGGAATGCATAGTATTAATTATCCTAATTTAGGCCAATCTTCTTACAACAATCCAATTTGTCGGATTAGGTGTAGAATATATGGAATGTAGAGTAAATTTATCTTAGTTTAGACAACTTGAGGTGGGAATTTTAGCTTAGTAAAATTAATACTTGGCATTCTTTATATCTCATGATTGTTCACGTCTCTTTTGGGACTGTCATCAACTTTCAACAGTAGTTAAATTAATGATAAGCATTTTTGTAAGTACATTTTGAAGGTTAATTTATGAAAATAATGTTACTTATTATATGGAGTATTGGACGATGTGAGAGTCTTGTTTTCAAAATATTCCAAGAGACTAAGGAAGTGTTTATAATTCAGGCAAAATTGGTTTTAATAATATCTATTTTTAGCCGTTTATTTTAAATAATTTCAATTTTTGATTATTCTGGAATACTTTCAACTTTCGGGGGAAAGTGAGGGGGCGTATTTGTGTAACAGGTCCTGATCAATCAACAAAAGTCAACAACCTATTACTCCGTATCTTAGGTTATTTGACACGTGTCAAGTTCTGATTGTTCCAATAAATAAAGACAATATCTAAAAAAAATAAAATGAAAAATAATTAAATCACCAACCCCCACCCCCTTCCCCGCAGGAAAAGTCAGCCCCCACCCCGAAACCTCTCCCCACCTTGAAAAACGTCGATTTGTCCTCCCTCACCCTCGAAACCTCCCTCGCCCCTTAAAATGCCCCATCCTCTTCCCTAACCCTTAAAATTGCTCTGGTCGAATTTGGGGGTGGGGGAAGGGAGGGGGCAATTTTGAGAGTTGGGGAAGGGGAGGAGGACGTTTTACGAGGGAGCTAGGGGGCATTTCAGGTGCGAGGAAGAGGGCTCTGGGTGGATTTAGGGGTGGGGTATGGGGTTTTAGGGTGGGGGCTGGGTTTTCCGATAGAGGAAGGGGAAGGGGAAGGGGAAGGGGAGGGGGTTGGGCTTTCCGATGATGGGAAGGGATTTGAATTGAACTTGTCTTACTTGAAATAATATTAAATAATTTTTTCAGTATATTTAATACAAATGAATTTTTTTCACTCTTCAAGACTCTGCATGCATTTTAGGTTTAGTTCAAGTAAGACAAGTTCAATTCATCAAATCAAATTTTAATAAAAATAATATAAGAAAAATATAGCCAAACCAAGCTAAAACAAATTCTAATTAGTTCATAATAATAATAATGAAAAATTTAATTTAGATATGTATATATAAGTCCAGACAAGTTTAAATAATGAATTACGATGTGAAAACTATGTAAACAAAATAGAACTAAGGGCCTGATCTCTTACGTTGAAATTCAGTTCAGTTCAATTCAGTTCAGTTCAACTCAGTTAGTTCAGTTCAGTTCAGTTCAGCTCCTAATTTCCTTCTCTTATAAAATATTCATTTCAGTTCAATTCAGTTCAGTCAATGAGAACAGGCCCTAAGTCCCTTAATATATTAAGGGCATGCTCTCTTTAGATTATTTTCAGTTCAGTTCAGTTCTTAATTTCTTTCTCTCATAAAATATTTAGTTCAATTCATCAGCTTAATTCAGTTAATCAGTACAAGCACTAAAACCATACTTTGTAATCAACTATCCAATTAACATTGTGAACTAACAACAAAGAAATTAAGAAACTCACATACATAAAAGAAAAAACACCCACGGTGAGGGGAAAATTACTGAGATTTTAAATTGAAAACCTAGGAAAATCCACTAGTAGAAAAAAAGCATTAGGCACCCCCCATATGGCACCGGTTCAGCCTAAACCGGTGGCCAAAACCGGTCTAGAATTGGGCGGGTTTTTACCAAAAGAGAAAAGGCACCGGTTCAGCCTGAACCGGTGCTTAAAAAAAAAGGCACCGGTTTGAACCGGTGCCATTCCTTTTTTAAAAAAAAAACCGGCTTTTTTTTATTCCATTTATATATAAGGTAAGTCAAACCCTAAAGCTAATTCACTCACAAAACACTCTCTATGTTCGCCGCTCATCCTTTCTCTCTCATCCCTTTCTCTTTCATCTCCTCTCATTCTCATCCCTTTCTCTTTCATCTCCTCTCATTCTCATCTCCTCTTTCAATCTCTTTCTCGTTCTCTTTCAATCCCTTCTTTCAATCCCTTTCTCGTTCTCTTTCAAACCCTTCTTTCCATCAAATTTGATTGCATTTTTTTTTATCGATTTCTCGTTTTTTTTTTTTTCGTTTAAGATTTCAATTTTTTTCTGGGCTTTTGATTTTTCTTTCAATTTCAACTATTTTGATTTCTGGGTGTTTTCGATTTGTGGGTTATTCTGGGTTAATTTTTTTGATTTCGATCTTGATTTTTTTTTTTTCTATTTCTGGGTTTTTTTTTTCGATTTCGATTGTTTTTTTTTTCGTTTTTGATTTTGTTTTTGATTTCTGGGTTAATTTTCGGCTACAATAATCGATTTTGGGTTAATGCATGCATTTTTGGGTGTTTTTTCTATGGATTTGTTCGAAATTGATTATTTTGGGTTAATACAAGTTGATTTGGGTTTGTTCGAAGTTAATTTTGGGTTTAATTGATTTTATGAGTGTCTTCGAAATTTTTTATGGGTTTCTTCGAATTTTTTTTTTGTTTAATCCACCACGAACACATGCATGAGCAAGGTTAGGGTATTATTTCTTGGTTTTAATTCGATTTATTTTTTATTTTCTGGGTTTTTAATTGATTTTCGAATTTTGTTTTATTTTAATCGATTTATTTGTTATTTTTATCGATTTTAATTTGTTTTTTTAAGTGATTTTCAATTTTCTGGTTTGGTTAATCGATTTTTAAACTTATTTTAATTCGATTTTTTTTAATTTCTGGGTTTTTTCTCTCGAAATTTTTTTATTCTCTGGGTTTTTTTTTCTTCTGATTTTCGATTTTAATTTTTATTTTAATCGGTTTTTTTTTTTCTGAGTTTTTTTTTATATATTTTTATTTTTTGATTTTGATGTTCTGGGTTTTTTTCTAGGTTTTAAACTGATTTTCTTTTCTTTTTTTTTTCCCGATTTTCTGGGGTTTTTATTTTTTATTTTTTTCGCAGCTAAATCATGTTAATCGATTCATTTTGGTTGTTTTAATTGGTGCAGGTATATTGATTTAGATCTTAAATTGAAGAATCAAGATACAAGTATATTGTGAAGTTGTAATTTTTTTTTTTTTGTGATTTATATTGTAATTTTATTTATTTATTTATATGTTGTAATTTTTTTATTTTGATTTATATACTGTAATTTTTTTATTGATCTATACTGTAATTTTTTTGATCATATATATATATTGAATAGATTGAATTATATTGATTGTGATGTTCCATTCATATTTGGTATTCTCATTTAATTCTAGTTTATTTAATTTAAAAAAAAAATTGATTATTGGGGGGTTTTTGGCACCGGTTAACCGGTGCCAAAAACTTTGAAATATTTTTTTGTTGGCCTTTTTAGCACCGGTTAACCGGTGCCTTTTTGGCCCCCTTTTTGGCACCCCTCACATAGGCAGCGGTTCAAACCGGTGCCTTAAACCGGGTTTGAACCGCTGCCAAATGCCTTTTTTCTACTAGTGATCAGAGAAAGTATTTGAAGATTTTATTCTTTTTTGTTGTTTTTTTTTTAATATTTAAATTTATTTGCTATTTGACTATATCTTGACTATATGTAGCCTTCTTCGATCTTCTTAGATAATTTTCATCCGCCATGTGTCAGATTTGTGTTTAAAATTGTCTTACATAATAATAATAATAATCCTAATAATGCAAACCTTCTTACAGAGTTACAGTATTTAATTTTTTTTTGTTTGGTAATAATGTCGATTTAAAGTAGTTTTTATCTTAGTTTAAACAACTTGAGAGTTTAAGCTTAGTAACAAAACCAAGTTCGTTTACTATCCCTGTTTCATATTATTTGCAATGATTTAACATAAAGTGTGATTAAAAAGTGTCTAATTGTTGTAAATAATACGAAACGGAGATAGTAAAACATTTTAGCAATATGATTTATTTTTTTCCCTTATGACAAATATTTTTCACAAAGTTTCATTACTTGGCCAGGGGTTACTCGGTCGGTTAGAAGTTACTTGGTCACTTAGAGGTTACATGGTCAAGGATTACTCGACTAGTCAGGGGTTACTTGGTCGATTAGGGGTTATATGGTCAAGGATTATTTGATCAGTCAAGGATTACTCAGTCAAAAATTACTCGATCAGTCAAGGATTACTTGGTCAGAATTTACCCAGTGTGTGTCAGCCAACCATGCAGTGTAGCTGACCACACACAAAACTCCCCAAATGCTTTCAAGGTTGATTTTTATAAACAATATTGTTGGTAATAATACGGATTTATATTATATGTGAGTTTTTTTAATACTTAATTTGAAGGAGTTTCTTTCAAGTCTATTACTATGAATATTTGTTATATTATACGGAGTACTTTCTTTAATTTGTTGTTTACCTTGCACAAAATTAAGAAAATGAAATAGGAAAAAATTCCTTTGTTTAAAATAATTCTTAAACTTCTTAGATGATTTTCTTTGTTAGGGGGTAAGAAATATCAATATGTATTAGGAGTATCACCGTAGATATCAACAATTGGACCTTAAACATCATTAAAAGCTCAATGAAATTGCTAGCCATATCTTAGTTCAATAAAACAAAAATCTTATGACCATTCTTACATAAAACATCATACAAAGTTTGAATCTAAGAATAGCTTAACAATTTTGCAATAAATTCTTCAATATTCCTATCAGAGCTACCACCTTCTTCCATTGCCTCTTTAGTGAGTTGCTTCCACTTTGTTGCATTACTTCTAATCTCTTTTGCACGCTCTCCTTCCATAACCTCTCGAATACTGAACTCTAATTCATCAGAATTCAAAAAACCCTGATCATCTACCTTCACTCTAACTCCAGTCCTCCAAAAATCAACTATACATTTGGCATTAGTAGGTTGATCGGTCCATTGTGGGAATGCAACCATTGGAACTCCTAAACTAACAGCCTCTAATGTCGAGTTCCATCCACAATGTGTCACAAAACAACCCAAGGCACTGTGAGCCAAAACCTCAAGTTGAGGGCACCAATTGACAATCAAACCTTTATTTGATGTCTTTTCTTTGAAATTCAAAGGAAGCTTACTTTCTTCCAAAGCCCTAACAACCCATAGAAAAAACTTGTTACTTTTTTCCAAACCCTTTGCTATTTCTACCATTTGTTCACCTCCAAGGGAAGCCAAACTACCCATTGATATGTAGACCACAGAGGCACTTTCTCTTGCATCAAGCCATTGGATACAAGCATCAGTTTGGGCTTTGAAAAGACTAAGACCATAGTCTTTATCATCTTCTAACCTCTTGTCCAAGTACATTGAAGGAATGCATGGTCCTATTGTTTTCACAGCCCATTGACTTGCCATCCAATCTACTACCTACAAATTCAATTAACACATATAAAAATATTAATTTTATCAGTCTGGTTAGCTAATAAAGTGAACATAACCGGCCTTAAGTAACTATTTCAAACGACATGATCTAATAAGACCAATTCTAAATCAAGAGATTTTACATTCCCTAACAAGGCTAATATCCCATAATAAAATTGGAGTTATAGAGTCATTTAAAATTGCATAACCTTGATTATATATGATTATATTCCCTTTTTTGAGAAAAAAGAAACCCTTTTTTAAAAGATGATGAACAACAAATGGTACTCCTCAATAGTACCACTAGTCCATTACTTTCCAGTTAACTCTTTCGGCCTTTCCACTCCACATCCCACTTCAAGATAAGGGCCTTGTAGGGTCTACCAAGAAAATATGAGCCATCTTAACTCGGAACCATATGTCCAATTTAACTTATTTAATCAAATATTTGCTAACTTTGAAAATGATTATGTTTGATCATATTTTATTTTTGTTTATATATTACAAATGTTAAATGTATAAAACTTTACATTAAATTAAATTAAAAGTACACATTAGTATGAATATTTTTTTTTGGTATGATTCTTTATCTTAAAGATTAGTGTACAATAAAATGTCAAATTAGAATATTTGATCACGAAGTGAACGTAGCCTCAATTTTCTTTGTGCTAATACTCCATATTTGACAAATAAAATGCACTTTTTCTTAGACACTATAGAAATTGAGACTTTATTTCAATTTCTCACAAATTTTTTCAATCATAATCTTCCTAACTAATTACGTCCACATTAAGCAAAAGACGTTATATTTAGAAATAGCGCTGAAGAAGTATATCAATGAATGATAATAATAATAATAATAATAATAATAATAATAATAATAATAATAATAAAATCAAAGACTCGGTATATATTCCAATCAAACATTTAGAAACAAAGCAAGCATAGTAGTATAATGGAACAAGCAAAATTCATACAATCCATTTTATCTTGATCTTTATTTAGACAGAATATCCTATTTCCACGACAGAATGTCAATATTATTTTTTGCATTAAATTAGGTAGTCAAGGAAACCATACTCTTAAATTAACTCTAAAATTAACTTTAAATTTCACTCCTAATATCTATGCTTTTACATTACTAAAAATTCTTACCTTGATCTCCAAGACATCCATGGTATTAACAAACAAACAATTCACCTCCTCCAAATTTGAGAATTGATCCAACAAAACCTTGACCAATGCATTTGCATATAAGCTAGGAGTTGAAACAAAGCTAGGCAAATCATCAACCCGTAACAGTGACCCGATTGAAGGTAGAGACACAAGATCCGACCCGCTTAGAGAAGTGATCAAATCACCTTTATAAGCATGATAGTAAATAGAATTAACCACACAAGATTGTGTAAAAAAAGGAGCCCCTTCAAGTCCACTCTTTTTTACCACTTGTAACACCCAAGGCATAAAAGCATCATAAATAACCATTTTTGGTGTAGGGTAAAAATTTATACTATTTTGCTTGTAATAGTCAAGAAGTTTAAACAAGCTAAGGGATATAGACACCCTTAGACGATTAAGGTATGCTTCTACGTCTACTTTATCGGGTTCTTCCTCATAACCATCATATACACGTACAAACTCGATGTTACACGAGGAATCACCCGTGGTTTGGGGGCATAATCGATTGGAGATACTTGTGGTGGTGATTACGGTGACTTTAAGGCCTTTAGAAGCTAAGCGTTTTGAGAATTGAAGCATAGGGTTAATGTGGCCTAGTAAAGGGTATGAGAGTACTAAAACATGAGCTCCTTTAATTGGTTTCTGATAAACTTCACCCTCCATTACACACCAATGTTTATGAAGTAATAATAATTCTATGATATTTCTCTCTTTTCTTATTTATATGTGTATGTAAATTGGTTCTTGATATAGGATAGTTATTTGTCAATTTTCATGCATGTTTAAGTTATACCACGTTCTAATATTAAACGTATAAGAAGCCAAAAGCTAAGAGAAGTAACGTTTAATTTGAGGGTGGAAGGATAGTAAGTATACCTAAGTAACAATGTCCCAAAATATTTGGGAACCACCAACTTATGGAAATAGGTAGTAACTTAGCTCATTAATTAGCTCTTGCAAGTTGATTTAATAATTTCTTTTGTTCCTAATCCTAGTTTGGGAATCATTAAGTGGTAAGATTGATAATTAAGGTTTAATTAGCTTAATAGCCTTCAAATTATTGACAATACTTTAACAAATTTATGTATATAGTAAGTGATGTCTTGAAACTTCCTCAAAAAAAAAAAAAAAGCGATATCTTGAACCGTGAATGTTACGAAGTATCGTTTAAATTAACAAAAATTACTTACTTATTCTAGTATTCACTGGCCTAGATACCTCCTAAATTGCGATACAATTTTGTCTACATACAATGCATAGCAATCGTATTCATGCCAATCAAATATCAACACATTCATGGTTTGGAGTTAGAATCCTTTATAACATTTAACTAGAGAAGATAATAGTGATGTTGATTACGAAACCTCACATATTTGCTTTACAAATTTAAATTGCACATATATACAACGGTTTTTTTCCTAGCTTGCTTGACTTTACAATAAAAGACAGTAATATATTAGGTAGCTAGAGAAATATTTCATAGAAAGACAAGAAAATTGTAACACGTAAATTTGCAAGGAAAATAGGCTTGTGATAAGTTAGGGACCATTGTTCAACAGTTTGTTGCCATTCCCTTTTTAAATACTCAATCTTATCCAAGAACATAAAATATGTTCAACGTTTAATAATTATGTTTGGAATAGCATTATTTAGAGTAAATCATTATAATATTATATATAATCCAAATATAAGGTCATTTTTTTAATTATTTTTTTTTAAGGAAAAGGTCATGCTTTTTTTTAATATACTGTATCAAACTAGCTAGCACAGTATTCCTTACACATTTATTTGATATGTCCTATACTTACTACTATGTGATAAATTAGAAGGTGTTTCTAAAAACGTCGATATGCCACGTAGTTCTTTTTGTATAGGATTCGAACCCACAACCTCTTATAACAAAGGTGGTTATTTAATCAACTAAGCCAATTACCTACTATGTTAATAATATGTACACAAATATACATAAGTGCAAACCACAAGGTATAACTGTAAAAGAAAGGACTCAAAAAATAACTCAATTTTTGTTTGACGATCACAATTTCAATTTTGAAAAGCCTTTAAAAAAATTTATCGATTAAACGGCTACAACAATAGCAATCCGGGGCAACGCCCGGGCTGCTCACTAGTAGAATTATGAGAACAAGATCTTAAATGACATTAAAAGTAATAAAAAATAGGGATTATTTTGATAAATAATTTAATAAGAATTATGTAAAGAATGTAAGATTATTACATGAAGTTGATTAGATGCGTGAATTATACATGCAGTCATGCACCATGCATGTCAATTTTCTTCACGGTAAGCATTTATGTTAAATTATACTCTTTTGTTTCATAATATAGTGCACATATTGTCTATGTCATTTATATAATAAAATATGCTTATAATGCTTTACTTCGTATTATTCATCAACTTAGCAAATATGGCCTTAAATTCTGGAAAGCTACGCATGACATTATTAAATAAATTGATGGACGATGTCAGCCTTGAAAGTTGATATCAAGGTGCAAAGAACGACAAAAATATTGGGAAATTGTCGTTGCTAAAATTAAATGACTACTCCACAAGCTAAAATTGAGTGAGCATATAATGACAAATCATTTTTGGCCACATATATATGTTGGGTTTTGAATTAGGTTTAGTGCCATTTTAATTTTTGTAAGTCATTTAAATTAAGTGGTTGCTAATATACAAAACCCTTGTGATAGCATTGATTTATATATTATTAATCTACATTAGTTAGTTTACTACTACATTTAGAACATCCGTTTTTATATGTGTTTTTGTGGTGATGTTTATAAATCGACAAGAGTAAATAAATAAAATTAGTAATAAAGTTAAGTAAGAAATGATAAATGATGGGATGTGTGATGAAGGTATGAGTTATGGAATCTTGAATTGAATTATTGACGATGAAGGATGACCAAACTGATATTGTCAATTTATTTCAAGAGCTTTCATAGTGGACGGAAAGAGCTAATCTAGATGAAGGAGACGAAATTCATATGGGTGGGTAACTTGAATTAAATTGAGTTTTAAGTTGGGTAAGAGACTAAGAGTGAAACATAGCATATGTCTTTCATTCGATACTTTTGAATCTTTTCAATTATAAGTATTAAGATGAGTTATCCGTAAAACAAAAAAAGGTGAGTTTAATGTTTTTGTAGTTCAACCATCACAATCAAATTTGTCCAAAAAAAAATCACAATCAAAAGGTAGTGGGTTTAACTATAGCGGGATACAATTAGTACAAATTAGATAGAGTGTCACGTAATGAGCATAGTGCATACATATGTTATATCGCTCTTTTCAATTATAAGTATTAAGTTGAGCAGCATAATGTTTATATTGAAATTTAAGTGTGCAAGGGTAATCTAGCGACAATAAGTACCTTTTAAAAGTTGAGCTAATACTTTTAACCCTAAAATATTTTTTTTTACATTTGAGAAAAGCGATTCAAATATTACCTCTACTATTAACTACTATCGAAATCAATACCTTGTTCAAAATCCCTAATTTTTCCAACAAGTATTTTGACCTACTTATGGTATACCACCGAACATGACATTAATATTGTGTTTGGCCTGGGATATTTATATTGAAAGTTATGGAGAGCGCACTAAAAAAAAACCTTAATTAAGATCAGCTAATAATGCATGGATTTCCACTGAATTCAAAATTATTGAATCTATCATGATGATTGTTCAAGATTAGCCATTCATGTGCAGCCTGATAATGCAACCTCATTTGATTTCACATTTGCACGTTCTAATCTTTGCATGCAATGATGCATTAAATGTCGGTTACGAAAGAGGCTCAATGTAACATTGACACATTGTAACATATTGTCATATTAATCATAAACTTTTGAAATGAAATGTATCCTCAATGAGTTATGACACACTCATATATTACCTATATTTTTTATTAGTCGACATATTTTGACTTTTACACTATTCCACACTCTTCTTTGACCGTGTTTTGAACTTTATAGTTTATACATAATGAAAAAATATAGTTATGTGACATCTTGTTAGATTCGTCACAATATATATTTTCAAAATATCAATTTTTTTTATAACTTTTGCTTATCGACAATTATAGATATTAATGGTCGAATTTGTGCATTGGCAAACGTGACTAAATAAACATGTCAACTAAAAAGAAACGGAGGAAGTATAAGTTTAATTACAGTGCAAAATCTAGATAGTATTTATAATTTCTAGATAAAATAAGTTGTACCAAATAGCTACCTATAGTTGTCCCAAAACTAATTAAAATTTACTCCAACTTAGTAAAATATTGTAAAGTCAAATTAATATACAACCAAGACACAAAAAATTTGTTGATCAATTGGGCTTTTGGCTGCATAGAAAATTTGAAACACAATATTATCTTCATCACAAATCACAATGACCCAATTTATTCCGAGTAGTCATTACTTTAAATTTAATTAATTAGGTGGAAAACTAAAAAACTACTCCATACCCTATCCATCCTACTTTATTCATTAATTAAATCAATATAGTCCACATAACAGTAGGGTAGGATTAAGTCACTTTGCATACTCTTAACTTAATTTTTTTTTTTTTTTTTTTTTTTTTTTTTGTTGGGCGCAATCAACTAAAAACTTTATAATGTGGGGTTATATTAACCTTAAAATAACAAACTGTTTAAATGTGATCTATTATTTAGAGACTGACAATATTTAAGAATGAAGTTATAAAAATTATTATTCATAGACGGTCTGACAGAACGAAGTAATAAAAATCTAGTATCAAGATTCAAGAACCAAAATTGCACAAACATACCTTACTCTCAAGGCCATCAAAAGTGTTGAAAAATCGCCAATTAGCATCTCCACAATTCGAAAATTGATTAATCACAAGCTTCTCTAAACTAGGATGCAAACCAACACGACGAACAAAAGATGGCACGTCCCGTGCATCAAAAGTCATCCCAGGAACACAAATTTCCGGCCCTTCAACTGGTATACTCAATATACCTTGATGAACTTGATAAAATATCAAGCTAACTAGGCAAGATTGCGTAAAGAAAGACGCCCCTTGGATGTCGAATTTCTTAGCTATATCCAAAGCCCATGGAATGCCGGAGTCATACACAAGACACCTAACATTATGACCAATTCCAATTTTATGTTCAACTAGTTGAGTTAGGCTCTTTGGTGCAACAACATCAAATTTTTTCATGTATTCTTCGACGGTTCCCGGTGTTGCGGCCTCGGTGCTACCATCGGATATGGTTTCTATGGTGATTGAGCTTGATTTTAAGTCATGGAATTTAGAGGAAAAGGAAGAAGTGGTGGCTAGTGTAACATTTAGGCCTCTTGAAGCAAGTTGTTTAGAGAATTGTAGCATGGGATTTATGTGACCTTGAATTGGATAAGGGAATACTATAACATGCACTTCACTACCCATATTTGCTTTGGATTCCATCATTTTGATTTTGTGTTTTGTATTAACAATAGTTTTTGGTGGTCATATCATACATAGCTATATATTTATGAAGGATGTTGGTTAATGTTGGACACTAGGTTATCCGCCGTATTGAGATTTCATAGGTGGATACCTATTCCATATAAAATACTTTTTACTGTATTTGTTTTTAGTTGACACGTTTTGACTTTATACACTATTAATTCATATAGCACACCTTTGACTTTGTTTTGTGATTTAGGGCGTGCTCGGCGCTAGCTTTTGAGTAGCTTTTAGTGGTTTGACCAAGTCAAACCACTACTCAACAAAAAATGTGAGTGTTGGCAAAGTAATGGTTCAAGTAGCTTTTATTGGTGGAGGTAGCTTTTATTAAAAGTTAGGATTATTAGCTTTTTGAAATTAGAGGTAGCTTTTGAAGTAGCTTTTGAAAATTTAATGTATAGTTTTAAAAATAAAATATTGATTCTTAAATGTAACAGTTAGTCAACCACTACTTTACCGAACAATCATACCTAAATTATCTTTTTTTCACGGTTAACAGCTTGTTGACAGCTAACAGCTATCTCCACAGCTACAGCTACCTTCACAGCTATATTTTGCCGAACATGTCCTTAGTGCTTTAAAATCATAATCATGTGGGGTTATATTAGATTCGTTTCAACTTTTATTTTTGCTAATACGTATAAAGAAATTTACATACTTCGTATAAAAGTTTGTAGTGATAAAATTGTCTAACTGAAACATGTCAACTAATATAAAACAAAAGACATAAGGTTTTTGTGTGAAAACTAAAGAAGCGGTCTTACTTATACTAGTCAGATCATGGGGATATTCTAAACAGTAATTCAACAATAGAAATTTCATTCTTGTTTTAAAGTTTTTTCTAACTATGATTGTTTATAATGAACAAGTTCCAAAAACAAGGATTAAAAACAAAAAGATGAACATATAAACAAGGAGTAGTATAATAGTTTATTTTTCAATCCTGTTTTGTATCCGAGTAATAAACAATTTCCCCGTATTCTTTTACTTCAAATGTTATATTTTTGAGAGATCACAAGGTTCTATTTGATAAGGCAAAATATATTCAAATGATAAGATCATGTCAAAGTCGTCTCAACATACTTATTGATAATAAAATACATTAATCATTGAAGTCAAATTATTTTGATCAAGGGATAGAGAACATAGGAGGTATAAATCACTCTATTTTTAAGATTAAAAAGGTATTTCATTCCTACATAAGGAACCATAACTTAGGGGGTTAAGGTTTCATTCCTACAATGGGCAATGGCAAATTTTGGGCCAAAACTTAGGGGGTTAAGGTTTGATACTTAAACTTTTTGCTCAAATAATACTAAGTATAATACTCCGTACTACTTAACAACAATGCTACAACTCGTAGTATTATATTATTTATAACCAACAATTCAGAAAAAGTGAAGGGGGAGGGGAGGGTTTAATCAATTTACATGAGAACATAAATTTTCAAGAAATTTGCATTTTTTACATTCAACCAAACGAGTCCTTAGGTCCTAATCTCATTATATTATTTTTAGTTCAGTTCAACTCTTATAAGTTTAGTTCAATTCAGTTTAGTTTAGTTCAGTTTAGTTCAACTCCTAATTTCCTCCTCTCATAAAATATTCATTTCATTTCAGTTCAGTTCAATTCAGTTCAGCTTTAATAAGTAATAAGTTCACTTCAGTTCAGCTCATTTAAGTCAATAAGAAGATTGAGAAGAGGCCTTTAATCTATAATATGAATATATGATGCATCAATGAAAAGGAAAAAAAAAATTAATACTATAATTTTTTGACAAGAAGACACAATAATAATAATTAAACTACGAAGTACGGAGTACTCTAATTAAGGGTCTATTCTCTTCAGCTTAATTTCAGTTCACCTCCAATTAGTTCAATTCAATTAAGTTCAATTCAACTCCTAAATTCCTTCTTTTATAAACAATTTGTTTCAATTCAGTTCAGCTCTAATCAATTCAGTTCAATTCAGACAAATTCAGTAAATTAGACGAGGGAGCCCCAATTCATCTTTATGATGAACAAAAAACATTTATCTAGTGACAATTCCGTAAATAAATTAATATAAAATCCCAGTCATCATGGTGTTTCTGTAAATAAATCAACATTATTATGGTCTACATTTGACAAAAAACTTTAATTTATTTACAAAAATGCTACTAGATAAACGTATTTCTGTTTATCATGTACTACCTCCGTTAATAGTTATGTGTAACTTTGGGGGAGTTCACGGTTCACGATGCAAAATTTGATAATGGTGATTAATGTATTATAGGGGTATGTAATTAAGGTGGAGAGAGAATGTTAGGATAATTAATCCACCACCACTGCCACCAAGACCAACACCACCACAACCACCAGCCAACACCACCACGGCCACCACCAAGACCAGCCAACACCCTAACACCACCACCGCCTTCAATTCACAACGACAAGCCAACAGTCCAACACCACCAACACCACAATCGCCTTCACCAACACCACCGCCGACTTCACTACCAACACTACCAACCTACAAAACCAACTCCACTACCAACCCCCGACCACCACCACTACCAACCCCCATAAAACCACCACCATTGCCAACGAAAAACCACCCTAAACCCACCCCCACGAAAAACAAAACCCAGCAAAATTCAACCACCACCACTGCCAAATTCAACCACCACCACTACCAACCCCCACAAAACCACCACCACCCTAAACCCACCCCCACGAAAAACAAAACCCACAAAATTCAACCCACCATTCTCACGGAACACTCTATAGATCTAACGGAAACCACTTGCGAACTCATCACCACCACTCCAACAAATCCATCACGAATTGAAGTTCTTGAAAGTTGAAAAAAGAGAAAGAAGATCTCAAATCCATGAAACCCACTACAAATTTTTTGAAAGTTGAAGAGAGAGAAAGAAGATTAAAAAAAAAGATGAAGAGAGATAATGATGTTGAAAGAGGAGAGAGAAAATATGGGGAAAGATGAATTGAAGATGAAGATGAAGATGAATGGAGATGAAGATGAATGTAGATGGTTTTGGGTTCCTTGAGTGGAAGATGAAAAGTTGATGAGTTAGATTGGGTTGGTGGGGTGAAAATTGGGTGAGAAATTAATGTTTAATTAAATCTGATTATAGTTAGTAAATTGTGTTTTAATTTTTTTATCGAGGGTAAAATTGATATTTGACTAGTTTTTTTTTACTAAAAGAGGAAAGAAATATTTTTATTGCACATATACTTAGCGGATAAAATGGTAAAAGTTACACATAACTATTAACAGAGGTCAGAGTTAGTATTTTCTCAAATTAGACCCTAATCTAATAAACACATAAGTGAGGTCTGACACTCTAACTTACCAAATGGCCGGCAGACAAAAAGTCAAAAAGAACATAGACCCATGATTCCATGAAGCATGCCCCCTTTGTTGCTAATGGTAAGTGCTTAGTTGTTTCATTTAGCAAAAAAGTC